CATTTTCAAGTTAGCACGTCTCTTGGCATCTTCCGTGCTGAAGCAAAAATGTGTGTCGGAATGGGGTTCTGTGCACATTTTCAAGTTAGCACGTCTCTTAGCATCTTCCGTGCTGAAGCAAAAATGTGTGTCGGAATGGGGTTCTGTGCACATTTTCAGTTAGCACGTCTCTTAGCATCTTCCGTGCTGAAGCAACAATGTTTGTCGGAATGGGTTTCTGTGCACATTTTCAAGTTCGCCGTCCTCCTTAGCCTCTTCCGTCTGAAGTCAAAAATGTTTGTCGGATTGAGTTCTGTGGCACATTTCAAGTTAAGCACGTCTCTTAGCATCTTCCGTGCTAAGTCAAAATGTGTGCCGGAATGGGGTTCTGTGCACATTTTCAAGTTAGCACGTCTCTTAGCATCTTCCGTGCTTAAGCAAAAATGTGTGTCGGAATGGGGTTCTGTGCACATTTTCAAGTTACACGTCTCTTAGCATCTTCCGTGCTGAAGCAAAAATGTGTGTCGGAATGGGGTTCTGTGCACATTTTCAAGTTAGCACGTCTCTTAGCATCTTCCGTGCTGAAGCAAAAATGTGTGTCGGAATGGGGTTCTGTGCACATTTTCAAGTTAGCACGTCTCTTAGCATCTTCCGTGCTGAAGCAAAAATGTGTGTCGGAATGGGGTTCTGTGCACATTTTCAAGTTAGCACGTCTCTTAGCATCTTCCGTGCTGAAGCAAAAATGTGTGTCGGAATGGGGTTCTGTGCACATTTTCAAGTTAGCACGTCTCTTTATCTGAAGCAAAATTTGGTCGGAAAGGGGTTCATGTGCACATTTTCACGTTAGCACTCTCTGAGCATCTTCCGTGCTTAAGCAAGGTGTGTCGAATGGGGTTTGTGCACATTTCAAGTTAGCCGTCTTTAGCATCTTCCGTGCTGAAGCAAAAATGTGTGTCGGAATGGGGTTCTGTGCACATTTTCAAGTTAGCACGTCTCTTAGCATCTTCCGTGCTGAAGCAAAAATGTGTGTCGGAATGGGGTTCTGTGCACATTTTCAAGTTAGCACGTCTCTTAGCATCTTCCGTGCTGAAGCAAAAATGTGTGTCGGAATGGGGTTCTGTGCACATTTTCAAGTTAGCACGTCTCTTAGCATCTTCCGTGCTGAAGCAAAAATGTGTGTCGGAATGGGGTTCTGTGCACATTTTCAAGTTCACGTCTCTAGCATCTCCGTGCTTAAGCACGTGTGGTCCTGTGCACATTCAAGTTAGCATCTTAAGCATCTTCCGTGCTGAAGCAAAAATGTGTGTCGGAATGGGGTTCTGTGCACATTTTCAAGTTAGCACGTCTCTTAGCATCTTCCGTGCTGAAGCAAAAATGTGTGTCGGAATGGGGTTCTGTGCACATTTTCAAGTTAGCACGTCTCTTACTTGGAGGATCGGCGTGGTTATATTTAAATAGCGGAGTTGGTCTATTTGCAAAGTAGTTAATAACCACGATAACTCCAGTTATTAACTCCAGTAAGTGTCGATGTATGTGACACATTTGAGATAGCTTGCACGGACGGACATATTAAGTACTTGCGGCCGAGGGTATGTACTTAGCAAGTCTCGCATGCAAATGTGGCACTTAGCATGTAGAAACGGCACAAATATATGTACTTGTGTGTGGACTTACAAGTACTTATAAGTACATACGACGGACTTATGCTAAGTCGGCAAACTACTTAGGGCTAAGTCCGCCAACTGGGTTAGGGCGGCCGCTTTTGTAAGTGGGGTAACTGGGTCCAGAGCTAAGTGGGCTAAGTGGGTTAGGGCCTCCCAGGAACCATGATTGAAATCGTATCAAAATACTGTAGATTTCACTCAAAAACCATAACCATTTTGTTATCTATTTATTTTTCGTGAGGCTCATGGCGTGCACAGAGTGCTACATAAAAAGACATATACATGGCGACAAAAATGCATATACAAGTACATGTACATATTCATATACATATGACAAATACATGTACATGTACAATATATAGAAGATGCAACATGTAACATCTGAATGTAGATGTATATGCACATGCAAATGTACATATACATTTACACATTGAGTTGCGCATGTATGTGTAGCTATACATTGGGCATGCATGTGCAAGATATGTATAGACACAGTATATACATACACATGACAACAAACCAGGAACACCTTGAAGTTCGTTTCGGCTATAATGATATGCAGCTTTTCATATGTACACACATCCAGGCATGTATGTGAGTATGCATGCATGTAGGTATATGCGTGTATAGAGAGAGACGTATATATTGAGGGTTCTATATTTTATCGCATGGAAAACATAAAGCATCATCTCGATTACGCACTCATGCGCCTTTGTGCATATAATGTATATATATATATACACACATACATGAAAAACACCCAAACCCCATATAAACCCCATCTTAAGACCGTAAACCCGTCGAACATATTATTATCTGTATATATATATATATTTATAAACCCCAAAACCCTAAACCCCATCCCATGTGTTGCCGCGGCTTCCGCATCTGCGTGCCCCCGCTCAAGGCGGGGGGGGAGGGGGGGCGTTGGGGTTGGGGTCGAGGGTCGCTTCTTATTTAGGCGAGGTTCTATATATGTGGGGTTTGTCATTTGTGTATATTTTAATTTCGGTGTGTTTTTTTTTTATGTGAGGATTCAGGGTGTTATAGGAAAGAGCTGGGTTTCTGCCCAGTGCTCTGCACGTCAAAGTTTAGAAATTCGAGCAAGCGCGGGAGAAACTATGACTCTCTTACATGCGGTAGCGAAATGCCTGGTCATCTATAGATAACTATATTGCGATATAGCTGTATATAGGAGGTTCCCATGAATCATATACATATACACCTCTATATATACTCCATATAATATGGAGTATATATAGAGGTGTATATGTATATGATTCGATTATATATATATACATATAAATATATATACATACATATATATATATATATATATATACACCTCCGGCCAAGGCACAACCAAGGGAGCAGGGTTGGGTTGCTTTATAGTTCGAGTTATAAGAATTTTAGATATATAGGAGGCGTAGCATGAGTAACAGTTTTAAAACGTTTTTATTTATATGTATGTATATATTCCGTTTAAGATAAAAACTTGCATCATGCGTCTTTTGGTTTAACATTGCCCCTCCGAGCGTTTACATTGATTTAGACGTATATGTAGAGGGCTGATTGGCATAATTTAAGGGTATATAGATTTGTCAGGTTTGCGGGTTTTGTATATGAAATCATTCCTAAAATTAGAAACGCTATGCAAGCATATAATATATGCATACAAAAAATATATGCTTGCATAGCGTTTCTAATTTTAGGTTTGAATTCGTATACATGCGATTCAGAAGGGTTTCTTGGGTTGGGTGTCTTACTTCGGCATTTTGTTTTGGAGTTCAAGAGTCCATAATGGCATAGCGTCTGTTCTTGAAACTGGTTGGTGGGCTTGGTTGTTGGTCTGGAGGGCGGTGTTGTCACCATTTAACATTGTCTGTTAGAGATTTTCGGTTGCAAGGCTATAACCACATGTATAGAGTTCTTATCGGGTATATAACATTGGGTTTAGGGGGAACTGCGGTCTATGGCAGGACAGTACATACACATAGAAACAGTCTTCATGCCCATTGCATGCTTGGGCATTTGACCTCGAGTCGGCGGCAGAACTTTCCAGACACATGTTCGCCGCCGGGCTGCAGCAGGACGCATGCAAGTTCGCTGCACCGTAAAGGCTGCGTGTCACGACAGCCACATCCGCTTATATATGGTTTGAGCGGAAACGCCTGACGGAACACTTTTTCGTATGTGACTGCTGGCCAAACTGTCCAGAGCATATGTTTTCATGCATCCACGCAGAGTATAAAAAAAGGCCAAGATGTTTATGGCATTCATGCATTTCAGCAGCAGGACAGATGCATGTTCGCTGTTGTTTGCTGCAGGACTCCGGTTCGCAGCAGTTTCTGTAGCACAGAACCTTGCAAGATGGCAGACATGCTTCCCGCATTGGAGGTGGCTTTTGTGGATCGGTTTTGGAAGTGGAACGACGGCAAGGGCCTTCCCGCGAACCCCCGATGGTGTCCACTTACCACAGCCCAGCAGAAAGACATTCATGAAGAGAGCACTTCATTGACCCTTCTGCCGGACAATCGAACATTTCAGAAGGTTGCAGAGTATGATTCCGGGATCAAGCTTTTCCAGTCCGAGGGGATGTGGAACGTTGAGTCTTGGTCTTATGTGCGAGCTTTGGTCCGGCCAATCGGCCCGGACCTTGTACTGAGCGTGCACGCCGACCACATGACGACGGAGCAATACTTGAAGTAACTGAGATGAGCTAATTTTTTCGTGTGTTTTTGTATACATATATACACACGAAAACACACACAACAAAGAATCACCAGATTTACAAACGCAGAAATATACACATATGCAGCTGAAGTCATCTGCAGGTTCGACTGTCGTTCCTGCGTCTCGGGGCGGCTTCTCTTTCATCTCTTTGTGACCGACCAGGAGAACTTGTCCATGAATGTCTTGGGAATGAGGATCAAGCGGCGCTGCGTCGATGAGAAACTCATCAGTCCTCAGCAGCACGTACGCCTGGTCAGCTCAGTAACCGGGGAGCTCATGAGCTGCGAGATAGGGTTCCTCTGGGGCCCACGAGTCCTTGCCGGCCTCAAGCCGCGCATGCGACTGGTTAAGAAGACCAGGTTTTCCAAAGTTTCCCTTCGCAAGTTCTTTTTGCCATGCAGTTCTTGAAGCTGCAGGTTTCAGTCTTGCTGATAGCGCCGGCGCAATATAAGGATCATGATTAAATACGTGTTTCCGGACGTCCTGTATACATCCATGTTCTTGTATAGTTGCATTGTTATACCGAGTTCTATATGGTTGATGTCGACGCGTTTTTAAAGAAACCCATTTTGTGATCAGAAGCTCGATCTCACGTGCGAAAATGCTTGATTTTGCATCTTTGCAATGCTTGCAGTCTTGGTGCTCATGACACACATTGATCGCTGCAGAGCCACGTCTCGCAGCGATGCTTCGCAGAGTGCATGTGCATGCATGTACTCGCGAAGATTGCCTTCCAAGCCTTGGACAACTCACCTGTGTGATAGATCCTTCCAGATGGCGTTGACAACGGAGTTGGCGACCAAAGTGGAGAAGTTGCTGGTAGCAGCCAGCGGCGGCTCGCTTGTTCGGTCGATGGAGCAGGTGTACGGGCTCTTAGCAGAACACGGGTTGCTCTACCAGCAGAAAGTGGTGTCCAGCTTCATAGGCGTGCATCCAAGCAATAGGGACGGCTGCGGCGTCTCCGCAAAGCACGTGCACGAGCTGCTGGCGGACCTGGTGCATCTGGGGTGGAGCCCTGCCGAATTTCGCGGCTTATGCGTTGAAGTTTCGGAGAAGGAAAGGTCCCGGGTGTTTGCCTGGAATCAAGAGTTGGCCCACAACTCCGAAGGGCAAGTCCCCCCCTGGGCATCGGAGCTCCAACTGAAGTTCGCAACCCTGGCAGGGTCCCACACAAATCAAGTTCTCAGATGCTTCCTGGCGAAGACACCAAGTCAATGTGCGGAAGTCGCCGAGAACGGGCGGCTGAGCCTGACCGCGCTACAGACGGCCGATCCCGACTTCCATCGAGCCTGCGTCGAAGGTGCTACGTGGAGGATTGTCTCCCACCAAGTGCCGGAGCGGTTCCCAAACTTTTGCCAGCTTGCACAGGCTGCTGCCAATGCCACTGGGCATGTGGCAAGACAAGAATCGGAATTACAGCTTTGCCGCAAGATTCACCAAGAAGTCGCACTGCAGATGAGCCGTGGGAAAACCAATGTCAACTACGTTGACATAAAGGACGCCGTGCTACGCACGAAGCCCCGAAGTGCCTCAACCGTGCCCGCCCTTTTCGTTTTTACCCTCCGCTATTCCGGAGGACAGACTGCACACCTATTGCAGGAAACCGAAAAGTTTGTTCGAGCCCACGGCTTCCAAAGCCGCATGCTGGGTTCGGACATCTTCGAGGCACTCAACACGGAGATGAAGTCCCGAGATCCCGGAGCATTGATCAGGCATATGATGTTACATTTTGCTTATGGTGCCGAGGATGCACGGGCCCTGACCGTGAGTGATGTGAAGAAGCTGTTGTCAGTGGGCATAGCTAGCAAGCGTGACGAAGCCACCCGAGTGTTTGAAGACTGCAAGGCGCTTTGCAGTACACATGCGGTCAATGTGGCTGTCTCCCTCAAGGCGCTAGGCTACCTCCAGATGAATCTCATCGCAGTTTTGCTCGACAAGAAAAAATACAAAAAACATGAGAACATCCAGAAGGCAGCGCAGCAATGTGTCGAGGAAATCAACCAGGCAGCCCAACTCCGCATCCCGAACCCGTTCGCAAGCACTTCCTCAGGGGCTTCTACTTTGAAGTCACCGAACAAGCCGGCCAAAGAGGATGCAAGCATGCTGCAGCTTACATGCATGTCTTAGTCACATTACGGTTTTTTAGCTATGCTACATCTATGTGTAAATCAAGGGAATTATAAGCTTTATATATATATATATATGAGTACACATATTTTGTATGTGTGTTTGAATACATGTATATATATATATGTTTATGTAGGTGTATATGGTTATATATGTCTACATGCTTATATGTAGACGTATATACACTGTTGAGGCATGAGCTCGACGATCAAGGCCAACACAAAGACGCCAGCCGGCTGATTTCTGCCGGCTACGAAGTTGGGATGCATGTGCTCAGGAAAAGTGATAGTTCCACCGGCAACATTAAAGGGATGACAGCCTCCGAAGTGACACTTGACGTGGAAGGGCATGATGTGAAGGTGTCGGCCGAGAGCTTTTTGAAAGGGGAGTGGCGGCAAGTCAACTTGAAAGGGGAATCGGTTGCCGTGGAGTTCGTTGGCTCGCTACCAGTGAATTCTGTGGACTTTCAAATCGCACAGTGCAAGGCCCGCATCCTGGATCGAATGACCGCACAGGAGGCCACGGGGGCCGCCCACTATGGCAACCTCGAGCTTTACCTCAAGCCTAGCAAGAATGTGCAGGCAACAAAGAGGTTCGAAAAGGGTGAGCTGGTGCTGATCCCCAGCACCCACAAGATCGACTTGAAGCGACCCGGTTCTGCAAGCAGCGGCGCCGTCGTGGCAGGTCTCGTCGACATCGAGGGGGAGACGTACGAAATTGCGCTCAGCAACTGCTTGCAGCCCCAGGCATCGAAGCCAGTACTTCACCCGTTCTGGTGCATCAGGACGTCGACGGTTCCAGCAGAGTGCAATCTTGAATTGTTTCCTCGGAACCACACGAGCAAAAAGTTCAAAATGGACAGCGATGCCGTGTGGAACATCCCAATGGCCAAGAGCACCAAAGTGATCAACGAGGGAGACAGCTTGGTGCTGTGGAAGCCTTCCACAACTCCGAGACCCGAACCTTTGTTGCCTGCGGCCAAGAAAACCCGGACAGCTTGAGTTCACATGTTCAAATCCGCACTGATCCCTGTGCACGGCCTTATAAAGATGTATATGTAACGTCTAAATATATAGTGTATATATATATATATATACATAGTCAGAAAAGGCATCGCACAGAGAAGCATCAGTATTTTCCAGTCGGGCAGAGCATGTGGGCTCGCCTGACAGCGGGCAGGGATGTATTCTCGCTCGCGACATTTGAAAGCAGCTCGCACTTCGCATGATCGGTCTGCCAAAAGCTGCGTAAGTGTGCACATGTGTCGGGTCAGATGAAAGTTCTTAATGATATCATGTCTGTGGAAATTTTGGTCTCATGCCGGCAGGGCCTCGGCCTCTGAAGATGTATGTATAGACATTTACCTATTATACATGTGTGAAACATACATATATATATATATATATATTCCTATCATATATACATAGGCACGCAGAGATTGAAAGAAGGCGAGTCATTCATTGCGTCGCACAGAGACGCAGGATTTTCAAGTCAGGCAGGGCATGTGGGCTCGCCTGGCCGTGGGCAGGGATGTGTACTAGTCCCGCCTGCGACACTCTTCTCGCAGAAAGTGCAGCTCCCATAGCTTCGTCCTCGATTTCGGAAAAAAAGGCTTGCACGTGCACATGTTGCAGCCGTTGCAAAGCACATGGTGCGCCTGAGCCTTTATCGTTGGAGTATGCATGTGCCAGGGTTTGGAAGGCTCAGCGTCAAAGAAAGACGGCACCACAGTCGATCATATAGGAGGAATGCCGAAGCCCGTGCAGATGGAGAAAGTCTGGGCTATCTCAGGTGGCATGCTCAAGGACGGAAGCAAATGGCTCGTGAAGACCAAGGAAGTGGACAACATGCTGTTCGCTCAGATAGACAAGTGGGATCCCAAATTCGTGCCGTTCGTGACAGGGAAAGCAGTTCAGTTGCGGAAGGAGAAGGACCCGTCCACTTGTCAAAGTTTTTAGATACAAGCAGAAAACTTTGTGAATATATACTCACGTTTGCATACACAAAACTTGCAGCAATTGCAAGTCAAAAGACATCTTGCATCATAGGGAACCGCACAAGAATGTATGTTTGTATATGAAACAATGTTAACATGTATATCTGCATAGTCGGGTGTGTCCAACCCACATTCTCTATAGAGATGCTTATACTTGTTGGATGATCAATTCCTCTGCATGGGCGCACCAAAAGAAATACAGGTAACCTGTTGAAAAGACACAGCTATAAACGTTTGTTTTGGTACTACATCTGTGCGTCACGTTTTTGGGGAAGCCAGGATCCACACCACCTGAGCATCCCAGCCTTTGGGGACTTTCTCGAGTTTCGCCGGCAGGCTTGCGACCGCCTGTACAATGCCATGATCAAAGAGGCAGCTTTGGTGGCCGGGGATGCAGCGCCAGAGGAGAAGACGGCGCGAGAAGAGGACCTCTACGTGGCAGGGCGGGTGGTGCGCATGCGATGCCCAGCGATCGCTTGCAACGGCGAGTCCATGGAAGCGAGAGAGATTGCCGCAGTCTGGTCCGTCAGAGACCCCGTGTCTTTAGTGCTAAGAGAAACAATGTTGGAGGTTTGTATGGTTCTAATATCGAAGCCTGCAGGGGACGATTCTGTATACTGGTGTTAGTCTCATGATTGTCGTTCTGAGGGCAAATATCTGTATAAGGTGATATGGATCGAGCTTTTGGAAGAGAACTTGCAGTACTTGGCACTGTTCATGCGGCGAGGGCTGGTGGATTATCTAGCTGATGAAGGTGCTCCGAGCCGCCGCCGATTGAAGCTTCGAGGGGAGGCGGAAAAACAAATGGTGAAGAAAGCGAAGAAGTCGCCCAAGAAGAAGAGTCGACGCTCTCGCAAACGCAAGGCTGCCGCAAGCCAGGAGGATATCACTTTTACACCTCCCCCGCCACTCCTGATACTGGATTTGGTCTTGTATAGATGTAGTTCATAAACATCCTACATTCAATTGTTCTTTATAAGCCAGGATCCCGAAGCCGAAGCCCTTGAAGACGGAGATGCAGCTCGTGAGGCTGACGCAGCAGCCGATGAATCAGTAGAAGAAGCCATCCAAAACATCGTAGGCTGATGAGTTTCAAGTCACGACAGTCCCGCTGTGGAGCATGCAGGGACTTTGTACAAGATTCGTCTGGCAGGGCATGTGGGCTCGCCATGACGTCGGGCAGGGACGTAGTCTCGCCCGCGATTTTTTAGGACAGGACGGAGAGGATTGCATCGGTTTGGCAAAGTGCCATGTGCGCTTGCTTATATACCTTTGGCATGGGGAGTGGTTTTAGGGTTGGGGGAGTGGGGTTTGAGGGTTGGGGGAGTGGGGTTTTAGGGTTGGGGGAGTGGGGTTTTAGGGTTGGGGGAGTGGGGTTTTAGGGTTGGGGGGTGGGGTTCAAGGGTTGGGGGAGTGGGGTTTTAGGGTTGGGGGAGTGGGGCTTTGGGGTGGGGTTTTAGGGTTGGGGGAGTGGGGTTTTAGGGTTGGGGGAGTGGGGATTTATAGGGTTGGGGGAGTATAGGGTTTAGGGTTGGGGGAGTGGGGATTTAGGGTTGGGGGAGTGGGGTACATATATATATATATATATATATAGGTATTTCTTTTTTACCGAGACATATAAGCCGGCTTGTTTCGGGTATACTGCATGTATATAACTATCCATCTATCTATATGTATATATATATATATGTCTGTACAGATTTGCGTACATTTTTCGCAAGGTTTTCCTGTGCACATTCGTGAAGTGCAGGGGTTTGCACGATGTTGACAAGCTGTTGTTCAATTTCCGGTTCCCATGTCTCTGCATGCTGCTTGTGCTTCCTTGACCATGGTGCAATTTCCCGCGCCGCTTCGATGCAGGGCATGTTGCAGCATGCAGCACAGCTATATGGCACTTTGCAGGCATGCGCTGCACAGTCTGCATGCATTCAAGCATAGCGCAGTTTTGATGTCACAGTCATGCAGAGGTACAAAACAAGCATGCCACGACAGTTTTAAGAGGCATCGACGCAGCCATGGCGACCAAGGAGGAGGATGAGCCATCCACGGATGGCGGTGGCTATGGACTGGTCGATGTCCAGGTCGAAGCTTTCGAGGAGGCCCCGGAGTGAATCAGGAACTTGATAGGTTTCAGGGCTCGGGCAGGTCAAGTCTTCTTTGTGAGCGCATTGATGTGTCATGTCTGTACATATATAGTGATCTGTGCATGTTGTTATATACCTATATATATATAATAAAAGACCCTAAATATGATTTGGTTTGTGTGTATAAACTTCCTGAGATACATATATACTTTTATATGACATCAGACCCATCCTCTTTAGATCCGAATCTATATCAAGCATTTGAGAGAAGCATGCTTCCCCTCCGCAGGGCGACGATGGATGGTGGGGCGGCGAGACTTGCAAGAAGGAGGAGTGGAAGGAGGAGGACTGCAAGTCCGAGCCGGATGAGTGGAAGACCGAGGTCGGCGAGGTTTTTAACATGCCCTATAGCCCTTAAATTCTTGTAAGCCCTGTATAGAACAGTTCCTATATTCGTGTATACGGCAGGAGTGGGAGGACGACAAGTCATGGTATGGTGCGGGGGCAGGCCATGGATGGCAAAACGGCCGCAACAACTGGGTGAAGTATAAGCATGCGGGCCAGCCCTGGAAGAAGGCAAAGGTGGAGTGGGGTGGGTACACGAAGCCCAAGAAGGAGTGGGATGCTCCGAGGCGACTGGGCACATGCACATATATAGATTTTGCGTTTCTGTAGTATATTGCATGGTGGCATATAGAAATATACATGTTATAACCTTTTCTATAGCCCTCATAACCGTATATGGTTCACCTTTTGTATATATACATATATATATATGTATAAGGCCATCCAACCTTGTGCGTGTCTTTATTGTACTCTCTTGCATACAAACTCTAGAAAAAAACAACTCTGTGGCCTAAGCTATAGCTTATAACGGTCTAAACAGTGCTATACACATCGTTGTAATATTCGAGGACGCTTGCAGAATGCATACTTGTAAACTTTTATGGTTCATTTTACTTTACGATCTAGTTTCACTTCACACTTTTGCAAGTACCATACAACTTATCATGGGTTGAAGCTGGTATATAGGCAACTATAATATGTAACAGTTGCCGCAAACAACTTGGTTTACATAGAGAACCAGCAATACAACTTTGCAAGTCGTGCATATATGTATACACATATATATATATATATAACTACGTGTCATCACGATACTAAAACAAAACAATCAAACACGACAGCTCAGGGCGGGCAACGGCGGCAGCGGAAGCTCATCGGGGTCGTCGTCGTACGGGGGGTACTACCTCCCAAATGGCGGGGGCTTCGTTGATGGCGACGGCGTCTACCACGCGTTGCCTCGCGGCAGTTTGCTACGGGTGATGCTTATGTAAAAAACACTATATAGATGAAACATATATGTAAATATATAGATATATGTGTATGTTTATATATATATATATTTGTATGTATATAGTACACTGCATTGTAGGAGATGTGTTTGCCCTTCTTTTGGAGTGTTACTCAGGTTACCCTTCTTTCCCTATAAGGAAGTGCGTTTCTATACATGTATGTTTCGGAAGTTTTGTCATTCTAGTTAAGTCTAAATAGCTATATAGATATACAGGAATATATGAACATACATACATATATATATATACATGTATCTGAGCACATTATATATCTTTATACACGTATATAAAAGGCATGAACGTCTTGGGCTGACCGCTTGCAATCTTCGGAGTTCAGGTTGAGGACATGGGCCAGGCGTCTGGTTTCAGTATAAATTGTTTGTTCTATTTTATACACTCACTATAAATAGACTATATATATATATATATATGTATATACATATATATATATATATATGTACGTCTATACCTGCATACTATAGCTTCTGGATATACTATACTATGTACTCGTGTGCCGAATGTGTATTTGCCTACATTTATTCTCAAGGTGAGTTCTAGAAATAGCATATGTGTTGATAGGTGTAAAACTGTTCAATGTTATACCTTTATAACGTATACAACCCCCATGTAAACCCACCGAGGCCGGGGGAAGGCCGCGAGAAACCACGGACGCGTGGTGGTCGCAAAGAACAGATGAAGCGACAGTCGAAGGAACGCCGCTCGGTGCTAGAAAGCGCGGTCAGAGGAATGGCACAAATGGCGGAAGTGATCCATAAAAGCCATGTGGGGTAGTTCATGGGATGTTGTGTGTTGTATTTAAGACATATGCAGCCTACATCCAGGTTCCTAGTTCACTGCACAAAATCCAACATCGGGTTGAGGGAGGATCACTTCTGCCATTTGGGCCAGGCCTCGCCTGGAAAGCTTCGGCAATTCGGGGCTCTTTCCACCTGAGGCAATCCGGAGCGGCGTAGGGCTGACATTCACATGGGTAGATCCTTGTGAAGAACATGTAGACTATATACCATAAAGATGTACCACGCTATTATAGTATATACTACTATTTGTGATACCAAAGTACTACACAGTACCACTCCAGGACTATATAGCTTTTAGCACTATAGATATGTTGTTTTAGTATCATATATGTTTGAATATGCTATATAGTACTATACTACTAGATTACTATCATACTCAACTGTATTCTACTACTCTACTATATGCTACTATACTACTATATACTACTATACAACTATACTATATACTACCTCACCACTATGTACTATACTATGCTACTCTACTATACTATCATCGACACCATACAACTATACACTGCCATAGCACTCAAACTGTACTACATTGTATATATATATATATGATTTATATTTTCATACTACTTTTGTACTAACAATACTGTTATACTACAATACTGCTACTACTACTACTATTACTACTACTACTACTACTACTACCACTATACTACTAGTACTACTACTACTACTACTACTATTACTACTACTACTACTACTACTACTATACTACTACTACTATACTACTACTACTACTACTACTACTACTACTACTACTACTACGACTACTACTATACTACTACTATACTACTACTACTACTACTACTACTACTACTACTATATCTATACTACTACTACGGTGGCACGCGCTGGATTGCCAACATGTCTCCCCTTTGCGGAAAGCGCTCGAATGGAGCCACAGCGCTCTATAGAGGCATGCATCGTGCACATTACATGCATTTGCACACTATGTAACATACGTAATGTGGAGACGTGAAGCATGATGTGCGTGCTTCGAGGGCAGCTGCGTGCACGTGCCTGGCTAGCTGAGGCGATGAGTTTCAGCCGGAATGAGGGCTGGGGGTATATCCGGGTTCAGCATTCAGGGGTTCAGGGTTTACAGTATATATATGTATAGGGTTTACAGTAAGGGTTTTGCAGCTTTATAGGATTCAACCCATAGCCGAGAAGGTTTTTCATAAGGTTTGGCAGCAAAGCAGTTTTTGATCATTCATCTCATCGCCAACATGTCTCCCCTTATAGTCCAGGCTTTCGGCTGCTGCTCCGGGCAGATATGCGTGCATACATGCATTGTTGCACACACAATCCCACATGTATGTATACACGCAAATGCACGTCTTCATCTTTGCACACGTATATATACATGTACACGTTCATGTGTACGTATACACACAGCGTGGCGGATGCAGCAGCTTGAAATGTGTGCATGTTTCACCAAATCGGCTCGGCACAGGGCGACGCGAAGCAGCCGGGACCGGGGCCAGTGGTGTTGTGCATGGGGATCATCCAGGGTTGTCATATTCCATATAGAGTTTATTATGTATGTCCTTCGTGTTTCTCACAAATGTAGCCAGCCCTCGCAACGTTCTGCTGCATGCTCCTTTACGTTTACATAGCTGGCCTCGGTCGTATAGCTCTATCCACAGTCACAGGGGTTTATTTAGGGATACATATATAGTCAC